ATCACACCTGGGATTTGGTTCCTGCTATACCTGATATTCATCCTATGGGTTGTAAGTGGGTGTTCAAGATAAAAGCTAATCTCGATGGCTCCATTCAGAGGTTTAAGGTTAGGTTAGTGGCCAAAGGGTTCCAATAGACTCCTGGAATTGATTACCTTGAAATATTCAGCCTTGTAGTCAAGTCACCCACCATTCGGCTAATATTCAGTCTTGTTGTACATTATGATTAGGATATATTGCAAATTAACATAAATAATGCTTTTCTCAATTGGGAACTCACTAAAATGGTTTATATGGTTCAGCCTGAGGGTTTTGTTCATAATCAATATCCTCATCATGTTTGCAAATTGGTCAATGCACTTTATGGCTTAAAACAGGCATCAAGGGCCTGGTTTGAAATGCTTAAGAAGGCTTTTGTTAAGTGGGGTTTTGTGCATTCTATAGCCGATCCTAGTTTGTTCATATATCAATAACAAGGCAAATTAATCTATGTTTTGGCATATGTGGATGACATACTCTTGATAGGAAATGATGATATATTGGTTCAAGAAACTGTCAAAAAGCTCAATACATGGTTTGCCTTAAAAACCTTGGGTTCTCTCAAATATTTCCTTGGTTTTGAGGTCTTCACATGAACCAAGAAAAGTATGCAAAGGATTTGTTAAATAAAACACAAGTGATGGACTATAAACTGTGTGCTACTCTAATGGTTGTAGGCACAAGGTTAGCACTTGAGGATAGTGCAGCACATGACAATCCAACCTCTTATAAAAGCACCATTGGTGCCCTGCAGTACCTCACTCTATGTAGGCCTGATATCTCTTATTATGTTAATAAGTTGAGCTAGTTTTTGAAGGCCCCTACTCAATCACATTGGCAAGCTTGCAAAAGACTATTAAGATAAATCAAAGGGACTGTCAACTTTGGAGTGCAGTTCAACAAAAGCACAAGATTGAATCTGGAATGTTACACCGACGTAGATTGGGCCAGTAGTGTTCAGGATAAGTGATCCACTAGTGGTTGTTGTGTGTACCTTGGTTCCAACATAATACAATAGAACTCTAGAAAGCAAAAAGTTGTGGCTTTGTCTTCAACGGAGGCAGACTATAGGGCCCTTGCACAAGGTTCTACTAAGTTGGCCTGGTTCTGTAGTTTATTTATTGAAATTGGAGTCTCTTTAGCTGAAATTCCTATAATGTGGTGTGATAATCAAAGCATATGTTCCTTTGCTTCAAATCCTATATTTCGTGGCAGGACTAAACATATTGAGCTTGATGCTCATTATGTAAGGGAACAAGTTATAGCAAATAAACTAAGGGTTCAGTATGTTCCCACTGAACATCAAATAGCTGACATTTTTACTAAAGCACTTTCAGCATCTAAATTTGAAGCCTTGCAAGACAAACTTAAAGTACAGGCTCCTGGTGACAGTGTTTCTACTTCTTAGTCTGAAGCATAAATCTTATGTACATTTGAATGAATGACTGGCTAAATCTTGGTTATATGTTGGCTCTATGCAAAATATACGGTATTTTGGTGCAGGATTATGGTTATGTTTCTGTGCTAGAATGTATTCCTGTGCATGACTATATGTTGTTTTTGGCTTGTGCAGGACTATATGCTATTTTGGCTATACTATAGAATGTATTGCTGCTGCTTGTGCAGTACTATATGTTTTTTTGGCTAATATACTGCAGGTTGTGTGAGAAGTTGCAAGTTGTGTGAGAATGTATACTCCTTTTGCTTGATATGCTGCAGATTATGTGATGCTAATTTGTGAAGTTTTGGTTGTTGGAGTTTGTGATTTTACTTCTCTAAAGGGTGCTTGAAGAATGTTCTGAAAGTATTACTTTGTGTAGCAATATATGTCAAGTGTATGCTATTTTGTGCAGCAATGTATGTTGTTTTTGACTGAAGGTTCAATGATGAGTTTTTAAAAGTTATTCAGCAAATATATAATTGGTGGAATAATGCTTCTTCAACTTAGTATGCAATGTGTTTCTTCAGCTCAATTTGTCAGTGAGCAAGATTAGCAGCTGCATACTAGCAGAATTGACAGATTAAAGACCACATGTCTGTTGAAAGAAGTTTGGTTTACGGGAGGATGTTGAGCATATTCAGAAAGAGCAAATTCAGAAATTGTCAAAATTAAGAAGGTTTGGTTTACGAGAGGATCTTAGGATATCAAACTTAACATTGTTGACCCGTTGACCTCTAGATAGTCACTAAGAGCTCACTGTTAACTCAGCTCATTCTACTTACTTAACTCAGTTTATGTTTGTATATAAAGAACAATGTAACAACTTTACTCTTAACTGAATTTAAAAAAAAAAAAACCCGAATCTTCTACTTTCTTCTTCTCTGATTTTTCTTTGCCCCCAAACTACTTTACTTTCTCACTCTCGGGTTGGTACAAATTTTTGTATCAATATTATCAATTAGGGGACAATGTTTTTTTAAAGAAGCAAAAAAAAAAAAAGGGACAAAAACCTATTAGCTACTGTTTAACTTTAACGAAAAAATATTAAATTAAAGACATAAATGCCTCTTAACTAAAACATAAAGAATATAAAAAAAAAAATTGAAATTACAGTAAAAATTTAAAAAACCAAAAATAATAAAATCAAATTATTATAAAAATTTAGAAATACTAAGAAGAAAAAAAATTGAGAGACCAACAAAATAAAATATAAAAAAATAAAACATTTAAATAAAGTCCAAAAAAATAAATAAATAAACCTAAATCTGCGTCAATGGCTTAGCTGATGGCCAACACAATATTAAGGTATTGTTTGTTGTTGTATTCATAGCAACCGATTGCTTCACCAGTTTTCAATTTTTCATTGCCAAGAAAAGTTATTTTGAATGCCTTATCAAATATCAGAATTTGGATCTCATTTTCTCTCATACTAAAGGCCAAAAAAAAATCACGGTTCTTGGTGCCCGATAGGCTTCTTGTGGTGAATCATCAAACCATTGGATATTGGGGAAACCTTCATTTCCCCTTTGCTTCCTCTTTTTTAAAATGTATCCATTTCCTTACGCATGAAACATATATAAGGATGTTTATTTGTATTGATGAGAAAATTTGCAACAACCAGAAGTATGTGATTAACAGTGCTAGAACCACATAAGATATGCATGTGATCCTGATGAATCAATGATGGAAGTAGTGTGATGGTGATTATGCAGTAAAATCATAAGATAACAAAGAAACAAGAAAAACTTTTTAAAGTGGTTTGGTTACTTATAATGCAAAACCTACATCCACTGTTATGTTACTGAGTATATTGACGAGTTGAGTTACGAAGAGTTATTCTAAGTTACAAAGAGTTATCTTAATGAGTTAACCTTCTTGAGTTCTCTTTTCTGAGTCTCTATCTTAGATTCTCTCTCCGGAGGAATCCCCCAAAATAGATTACAACTGAGTTTATATAGCATCCATTACAAGATTGAATTGGAAATAAACTCAAACAAGAAATAACGAGATCTTTGACTTTAATCGTGGAGTCCATATCGCAAGATACCTCCAGGTCAAAATAAGAATTATCGTTTCCAAATTTATCGCACAACACTTTGTTTATTTTTCTTTTATTTTCAAAGATTTTTGAAATTTGAAATTATTATAGTTTTAATTGAAACTCATTTTTTTTTACTATAATAAAATTATTTCAAAACAATCAGATATTACAAATTTATCAAATGCTATTTCTGCCCTTACTAGAGGTTAAATTTAACACCCTTTAACTATGTTTTGTCTATTTTCTATGTATTTTGAATTTTGTGTCACTTTTTTGCTTATTTTAAAAAATGTTATACCCTGATTGATAATATCCCAAAGAAAAAAAAAAAAAATTGACGGATGATGCTTTGGATTTGCCATATCATCGTTTCTCTTAATGCTCAATTTTTCTTTTTCTTTATTCAAGCATTTTTTTCACGCTCCAGCTTTCTTATTGTATTTCATGCATTTGCATTGTTTTCCCAGTAAGTAAAGAAATGGAAGAGAAAAAAAAAAAGACCCTCTTAGTTCATAGCGATCAATGCATCATGTTGGTGAAAGCAAGATTAATTGCACTTAATTGAGAGAATTGTTTGTTCTCCGTAGCTAAAGGAGACACGCCTTTCTTTCCTTGAATTCGTCTTCACAAGTAGTTGAAGCAGCCACTACAGAGCTGACAATTTTTATTTTTTTTTTGATAACAAAACTTCATTAATGAAAAGGGAAATTACAGACAGAAATCAAACCACAAGGTTTGAGATAAAAAGTCTGGAACACAATCCCACCACATGTTGATTCCATCAACATTTCTAGCATACTTAGCAAGATAATGAGCAGCCTCATTGGCCTTTCTAATAACATGTCTAAACATACATTCACCAAAACAAGAGGACAATTGTTTAATTTCATAGTAAAGACCACTAAATTTTGAATTGTCCATGTTGTCTTGAAGCAATGCATCAATAGCAAGGAAACAATCACTTTCAACTTGAATCTTCACAATGCCCATGCTTGCACAAAACTGAAGTCCATGAAGAATAGCTAGCAACTCCACCTGCTCTGGTTCAGCAATACCTTCCTCCAAAGCGCTAGCAGCCATTAGTACTCTACATGAGCTATCCCTCAAAATTGCACTTGTACCAGCTTTCCCCATGTCTTCAAAAACGGCTCCGTCAACATTTAATTTCAGCACATCATGATCCGGTGGCTTCCATTTGTAGACATCTCGCACTTGTTGTCACAATTGTCGCTTTGCCCCTTTATAACATTTCAGCAAAGAGAGAGCGTGTACAACAACTTGATGGATAGAAATTAGAGCTTGTTCATGGATAAATTTGTTTCTCCTATACCATATCCCCCATGCCAAAACAAAAAAAGTAGACAAAGTTTCAAATTATTTGGTTGTACAGAAATGAAAAGCCAACTCAAACACATTCAAGAATTTATCTCTCTCAAGTATAGGAAGATAATCGGTCCAAAGCTTCTGCACATCCACACATTACACCAAAGCATGATATAGCCCTTCAGGTTCACCATGACACAGATTACATCGCACATCGGTAGGGCCTTGTTTTCCTAATAACTTCTCCTTCGTAGGAAATCCATCATTACAAGCACGCCATGCAAATATTTTGATCTTATTAAGCACCGGCATTTTCCAAATGTTTTTCCAGACCACACTTTGAACACGCGAAGAAGAGGATTTAGCAACTTGTGAAGTCTGCTGAGCCATTATAAACTTATAATAGCTTCTAACACTAAACACCCCATTCCTTTCACGACCCCAAATTTGCCTATCAGCCCTATTCCCATCACACAAAACAATTTTTTCTGAATATCCTTCCAAAGTCCCACAGTCTAGAATTTTCACACATAAGAGAATTCACACACTCATTCTGATTCCCGTCACTAACCACATACCCTTCCTTCACCAAAGCATTGTGACTCGGGATCCAATTATCAAACCAAATATTAACAGCAGTCCTATCCTCCATCTACACCCCTCTAGAACCCATTTTTTTGCCACCCAAATGCCTCGCCAAGTATAAGAAGGAGATCTACCCAACCCTGCTTGAAAAAAATCAGAACCCGAAAAATACTTAGCCTTCAATAACTTGTGTAGTAAAGAATTTTCCTCCTTGAGCAGGCGCCACCTTTGTGTCGCAAGCATTGCCAAATTAAAAACTCTCAAATTTTTAAACCCCAGCCCTCCGCTTGCTTTCCTAACACACATTTTATCCCAACTCAGCCAATGGATTCTCCTCTCATCTTTCCTTTGCCCCCACCAAAACCTAGCCATCATGCCTTCCAATTCAGCACACAAACTCGAAGGAAGAAGAAAACAACTCATAGAATAAGAGGGTATTGAGAGAGCTACATCCTTAAGCAACACTTTCCTTTCGCCCTTGCGAGAGCAATTTTTCCTTCCAAGCTTGAAGTTCTTGCCATACTCTTTGTTTAATAGATCTAAAAGCATTAGCTCGTGACCTCCAAACAATTGGAGGAAGACCTAAATACTTTTCATACTGCTGAACATAAGAATTTCCCCACAGCTGCTTGATCCCTTCTTAGACTCCTCTTGGCACATTCCCACTAAAATTTTCTCGGTTAATACGCTAACCAGAAACAGCTTCATACTGCTCCAAAAGGGCTTGAACTCTTCTATTCTCCTCTATCTCAACCTTACAAAAAACCAAACTATCATCTGCAAATAGCAGATGAGTGACCTTTGGGGGTCCCCCTACATATCTTAATTCTTGAAATATCATTTCTTCCACCAGCAGCCTTCAGCAAAGTAGTCAACCCCTTAGTAAATAGAAGAAATAAATAAGGGGACAATGGATCCCCTTGTCTAAGTCCTCTAGATGGAATAATAGGCCCCTTAGGCTCACCATTTATTAGCACATCAGAGGACACATAACTAAAACACAGCATAATCAAATCAACAAAACCTTAATTAAATCCCATCACCTCCATAATAGTTTTCAGAAAACCCCACTCGACCCTATCATATGCTTTGCTCATATCTAACTTCAACGACATAAAACCTTTTTTTCCTTTTTTCTTCAGCTTCAAGAAATGCATGATCTCATAGGCTATCAAAACATTATCAATAATTAGATGCCCCGGTACAAACGCACTTTGAGTTTCCCCAATAATATCATTTAGCACCATTTTCAGCCTATTTGCAAGAACTTTAGCAACTAATTTGTAAACTACATTACACAAGCTTATGGGTCTATAATTAGCCACTCTGATGGGAGTTTTCTTTTTGGGGATTAAAGTAATAAAGGTGTGATTCAGGGTTGAAGGGAAAGAACCTGAATTAAAAGCATGAAGGACAATAGCAGTAACAAAACACCTTACCACATGCCAATATTTTTGAAAAAATATTGGAGACATGCCATCCGGTCGCGGAGCTTTTGAAGGATGCATTTGTTGCAAAGCGTCCTTCACTTCCACCTCAGTGTACTCCCTACATAACGCCTCATTCATCTGAAAAGTGACCTTCCCCTGCAAAACAATGAGAAAATCCAGAGAAGCATTTGGATTGGCTAATGTAAACAAATCACTGAAATAATCAAGAATCACCTTCTCCTTACTCGAACCCTCTTGCCACTGTCCTTTATCAACCTGAATTCGCACCAGCCTGTTCTTTCTACTTCTTTACGATGCTTTCATGTGAAAATATCTAGTATTCTAGTCACTTTCTTTTGACCATAATGCTTTTGATCGCTGTCGCCACATAACCTCATCCCTTTCCAGCCAAAGTTGTACCTCTTCTCTTGCCTTATTCAACACAGAGACATCAGAACCACAATCAGCTTCATAGAGTTTATTAAGCTATTGTTTAGCTTGCTGAAGCTTCTTTTGAACATGACCAAAAGTAGTCATATTCCATGCATCCAGTTTTAACCCGCACTCTCTAATCATACCCACAACATCCACCATAGTAGACTGAGTAGTACTCCTTCCCCATTGTGCTTTAATAATTTCTTCACAATCCTTAGTGATAATCCGTGGATTATACTATTTTTATTAGACTTTTTAGTAAGATTTTAGATACTTCTTAGTTCATTTATGCCTAAATTGCTACTTAATTCTTTACATTTCGTGTTTCAGGTTAAAATGGACATTTTGAGCGAATAAAGACAGAATTGGAAAGTCTGGACTCAGAAGTAAGCGGATCTCAGAAGTTGGGAGAGTCTAAAGCAGAGTAAAGCACTATGAAGCTTGTTCCCAAGGGAGAGCACCGAAGAGCGAAGATTCAAGCAAAGAAGCAAACGGAAGGCAATTCTGTAATTTCAGAATTCTTCATGAAGCTTTGCCGCGGCGAAGGTTGTTCTTCACCGCGCGAAATAAGTCAGTCACGCACCAGATTTAGCTTGTTTTGTCGCCACGACGAGATTCCTTCTTCGCCGCGGCGAAGTCTGCATTTTCCAGTTTTTGTAAAACGCACAGTTTCGTTTTTAGGCTAAGTTTTAGGATTTTGGGGGAGGTGTAAAAGAAATACTTAGTCTTTTTGTTAAAGGGGAGTTCATTTTTTAGAGAGAGCAGCTGTTTACATTTTCTTAGATTCATTTTGAGCGAACTGAGATTGAAAAAGGGTGAAGATTCGAGATTAAACCAGTGGATTCGTCATTTGGGGAGAGTTCTTTTCTTTTCTCTTGTTTACATTATGTTGAACTTTGGTATTTTCGTTTCTTTTGTTTGTATTGTTGATTTAGCCATGAACTAACCTATTTTGGGTTAGGGTTATGATTGTAATTAGGAATTTCATGGGTTAAGTAATAGATTGTTTTTCTTTTCATATGATTTTGCTTGATTGTGTGATTACTCGGAATTTACTGCTTTTATGTGATGAACATGATGAGATTGAGAATGAATCATGTTAGGCTTCTTGGGTAACCACCATTGTAGTATTGGATGCTAGAGATAGATTCAAGAACCAATGAAATCAATCTAGGATTCTTGTGCATAATGAGCTTAGATATATTAACCTTCAATTTGTTGGGTGAGGAAGGTTAATAGGGAAGAGTAGGAAAACATAGCCTGAGAAGGTATGTTTGACACTTTAGAGAGTTTGATTTACAATCAATGCATGTGAATATGAATTTAGTTTAATTCTTTAGAAAGAACCCATAGAGTCCGAATGAAGTCAAAACTCTACCCGTTTGTTTGAATTGATTTTATCCATATTTTAAATCTTGCTTTCATAGTTTACTTTTATTTTAGTAAATTTTGTTTTAGTCTTAGTTTTAATTGCTCCCTTGAATCCAAAAGAATAGATTGCTTCAACTTGAAAACGTAGAAAACTTAGTGCTTAGCAACAATCCTCGTGGGAACGATACTCACTCATCACTCTATTACTTGTGCGACTAGTATACTTGCTACATTTGCATGTTGTAGGAAACACGTATCAAGTTTTTGGCGCCGTTGCCGGGGATTAAGTTTTAAGTTAACATTGAGTTTTTCTATAGTTAGCTAGATTGGAGTTTTAATTTTTGATTTCATCATTGTCTGTTTTACTCTTGTTTTTAATTTTCAGTTGGTTTGTGATCTCACTTTCTTTTGTTTTATTTTGTGCAGTATATACGAAGAGTGAGACGTTAGCCAGTGGTTCCTGTTGAACTTGAGATTGAGAGAACCGCCAGACGACTTAACAGAGAGAGAAGAGAAAGAGAGGATATAGTGCTTGAATCAGAAGAAATAGCTGTTGAAATGGCAGAACCAGAAAACAGGACACTAAGGGAATTCTCAATTCCCACGGTTAATGGCAGTGGTTCGAGCATTACGAGACCAGCGGTCCAAGCCAACACATTTGAAATAAAGCCGGCAATCATCCAGATGATCCAGCAGTCAGTAAGGTTTAATGGTGATTTGAAGGAAGATCCGAATCAGCATATTGCGAACTTCTTGGAAATTTGTGACACCTTCAAGTCGAACGGAGTGTCAGATGATGCCATTAGGTTGAGGTTATTCCCATTCTCATTAGGGGATAAAGCAAAGGGGTGGTTAATGGCACTACCATCGGGAACTATCACAACATGGAATGATCTAGCAAAGAAGTTCAAGACAAAGTTCATCCCTCCAACAAAATCAGCAAAACTGAGAAATGATATCACATCATTTCTACAAGATGAATCCGAGTCATTGTATGAGGCTTGGGAGAGGTACAAGGAATTAATGAGGAAATGTCCACACCATGGATTGCCAGTTTGGCTTCAAGTCCAAACATTCTACAATGGACTGATGGGTAACGTGCAAACCATGGTGGATGCAACATTGGGAGGAGCCTTGCAGAATAAGACATCAGAGGAGGCTTATGAGTTGCTTGAGGTTTTGCCAAGCAACAACTATCAAAGACTAAATGAGAGAGCGATATCAAGAAAATCTACGGGTCTTCATGAAGTTGATGCCTTCACAGCCATCTCAGCCCAACTCACGGCACTTCAGAGACAGTTGGGAAGTATGCAGGTAAACTCTATTCAAGCACCTCAACTAACTTGTGATTTTTGTACAGGAAACCATGTGAGCAGCGAGTGTCAACTTCATCATCGGAGCAAGTGAACTACTTGGCAGGAAATCAGAGGCAACCAAACAATCCGTACTCCAACACATACAATCCAGGGTGGAGAAATCATCCAAATCTGGCTTGGGGCAATCAGAACCAGCAAAATAATCAATGGAACCAGAAAACATTGCCAAATAACCAACCAGGGGTGAATAATCAAATGGGAGATCCAAGAGTGACAAAGTTGGAGGACATGTTTGGGAAGTTCATGCAAGAGACCACGGGTTTTATGAATGAGACGAGGACGAATTTTAGAAATCAAGGGGCATCCATTCGGAATCTTGAGGTACAGATGGGGCAATTGACCGAGAAGTTAAATGAGAGACCGCAGGGATCTCTACCAAGCAACACGGTGACCAACCCATGTGAGCAAGTAAATGCAATTTCGTTGAGAAGTGGGACAGTTTTAGAAGAGGTGGAAAAATCAAGGAAAGATTAACAGAAGTAGGAAGAGGGGAAAAAGAAAAGGAAAGAGAAATTGCCATTCCCTGAGATACCACCAGAGTTGGCGCATCACACACCACCCGTGTCTTTTCCTCAAAGACTCAGAAAAGAAAATCAGGATAAGCAGTTTATTAAATTTCTTGATGTTTTTAAGAAACTGCATATTAACATTCCTTTTGCAGATCCATTGCAACAGATGCCGAGCTACGCAAAATTTCTTAAGGAAATCTTATCAAACAAGAGGAAGTTAGAAGATGAGGAAACGGTGATGCTCACGAAGGAATGCAGTGCCATCTTACAAAAGAAGCTGCCCCCGAAACTTAAAGATCCAGGGAGTTTTACTATTCCTTGCACTATAGGAGATATCACCTTTGATTGAGTTTTATGTGACCTAGGTGCTAGCATTAACCTTTTGCCTTTTTTTGTTTTCAGGAAATTAGGAATTGGTGAAGTGAAGCCGACAACCATATGCTTGCAACTTGCAGATCGATCAATAAAGCATCTGAGGGGCATTGTAGAGGATGTGTTGATTAAGGTGGACAAGTTTATTTTTCCTGCGGATTTCTTTGTGTTGGATATGGAAGAAGACAAAGAGATTCCTCTTATCATAGGACGACCATTTCTGGCTACCAGAAGAGCTTTAATCAACGCTCAAGAAGGGAAGTTGATCATGAGGATGCAAGATGAAGAAATAACATTTAAAGTCCTTGAATCAATGAGAGCTCCACCTAAACAAGAGTCATGTTTAAAAATCGAAGTGGTGGACCAGGCAAAAATTGAAACCTTCCAACTGAACAATCCTAAGGTGGAAATTAAGAGCTGCATTGTCAAACCGAATCAGTTCGAGAATGAGGACCATAACGAAAAGGGTTGCACAAAATTCCGAGATAAACCACAGTCGAGATTGTGTTTTCACAAGGAATAGATCTCTCAGCTCAAAAAGGGTGAGGGAAAGTCAAGAAAACGGAAAGCAGTCGGTGAGAAGAGTCGAACCACCAAAGTAATGACTAAGGGATGGAAATGGGTGGTGAAACTCTCAACAAGGACCCTACGTGAAAAAGATCATCAACAAAAGAAGCTCAAGCACAAGGGAAAATTTCGGGATGTGATGTACTTGGATAATCCAGACTGACGTGAAAAACCGAGAGAGTCGAGCTTACCAACTATAAACAAACGCTTCTTGGGAGGCAACCCAAGTGTTTTAATTTTTTTCTATTTTTCATTTCATTGTGTTTGAATGTGTTTGATTTTCTTATGAGTTTGAATGATTTTTAATTTGTGTGTTTTTGGGTGTTTCAAGTGAAGTTTTCAACTAATGCAAGGAAAGAAAATGCTCCAGATTTCGCCGGGGTGAAGAAGAATTCTTCGCCGCAGCGAAGCACATTGTGTGAAAATGAGTTTTGAAAAGTCCCAGACTTTGCCGCGGCGAAGATTATTCTTCGCCGGGGCAAAGCAACCTGAATAATATGTTGCAGCTACTGTAAGTTTTCGCCTC